TATCTGGAAGCAGATGGCTGATGCTGGTATCAAGTATATTCCTAGCAACACATTCTCTTACTATGATCAGGTACTCGACACAACCGCAATGCTTGGTGCTGTCCCCACAAGGTACAACTGGAATGGTGGTGAGATTGGGTTCAACACTTACTTCTCCATGGCCAGAGGAAATGCCTCTGTTCCTGCTATGGAAATGACCAAGTGGTTTGACACCAACTAGTAAGTGAATGGTTAAACCTCTCAATTTTTTTCTTTTTCTTTATTATACCTGTGACATTGAAGTACTGACCAGTGTGGTTCATTTATAAATTCAGCCACTTCATTGTGCCCGAATTAGGACCTGATGTGAAATTCTCCTATGCTTCTCACAAGGCTGTGACTGAATACAAAGAAGCTAAGTCGGTATGTTGTTTATGCTACTTGACTAGCCATTGTTGTCTCGTCCGATCCTATATAGTCTTTAAACTTGGTGGTACTAAAATTTTACGATTAGATAAAAAAAATGAAAGGTGTACGAGTTTTTCAATTTGTAATAGTGTATCCATGAACCTTTGACCACATCTTTTGTTATGACAAAATGCCAACAGTGATATGGCTACCGTTTGGAATCTTCAATACCTTACATTCTATTAACATAATGTTGCATTGTGCCATGTATCTTTGTTATATAAATTAGTTAGATTTACAATCTAATTACTGGAACCTGATCAATTTGACACTTCTTGTATGCAGCTTGGTGTAGATACAGTTCCAGTACTTATTGGCCCAGTCACATACTTGCTACTCTCTAAACCTGCCAAGGGCGTGGAGAAAACATTCCCTCTTCTTTCTCTTCTTGACAAAATCCTTCCTATCTACAAGTAGGAAATGCTCAACTTTTCCAGTTTTATTACTGGTGTTATTCATTTTAATTTCCGAGGTTGATATTAAAATGTATGACATGCACATAGGGAAGTAATCGCTGAGTTGAAGGTAGCTGGTGCCTCTTGGATTCAGTTTGACGAGCCCACCCTAGTGATGGATCTTGATTCTCACCAACTGAAAGCATTCACTAAGGCCTATGTTGAACTTGAATCATCACTTTCTGGCCTTAATGTCCTGGTTGAAACCTACTTTGCTGATGTCCCTGCTGATGCTTTCAAAACCCTTACTGCCCTAAAGGGAGTCACTGCCTTTGGTTTTGACTTGATTCGTGGAACCAAGACTCTTGATTTAATAAAGGGTGGACTCCCTTCTGGGAAGTACCTGTTTGCCGGAGTGGTTGATGGAAGGAACATTTGGGCTAATGATCTAGATGCATCTCTCATTACCCTGAAATCTCTGGAAGGAATTGTGGGAAATGGTACGTAGCCCAAAGTTGCGTCACTATTTTAGAATTTCGCTTCTACAGAGGGTCAATTTTCCTCTGTTTTGTGATGCAGAAAAGCTTGTTGTCTCCACCTCCTGCTCGCTTCTCCACACTGCTGTTGATCTAGTTAACGAGACTAAGCTGGACACAGAAATCAAATCATGGCTTGCATTTGCTGCCCAAAAAGTTGTTGAAGTAAATGCTTTGGCAAAGGCACTGGCTGGTCAGAAGGATGAGGTACATATCACTTTTCAGTCTATATTAAATTTGCAGGAGGGAGGCATGTTAATGACTGCACTTGACTGTTGCTCTTTACCTTTCAGGCATTCTTCTCTGCTAATGCTGCTGCTCAGGCATCTCGCAAAAACTCTCCAAGGGTCACCAATGAAGCTGTTCAAAAGGCTGTAAGTGATTATTCTTTATGATTTCTACTTTAGAATTTTGCATTTGCTGCCGAAATGTCCTGTCTTACTGATCAATACTACTTGCGGTTACCCAGGCTGCAGCTTTGAGGGGTTCTGACCACCGTCGTGCTACCAATGTTAGTGCTAGACTTGATGCTCAACAAAAGAAGCTAAACCTTCCAATTCTCCCAACAACCACTATTGGTTCTTTCCCTCAGACCATAGAACTCAGAAGAGTTCGCCGTGAATACAAGGCCAAGAAGTGAGTGTTTTCTACCTGCATTTAACTGTGTAGTTGATTTGTTCTTTTATGTTATTGTTTAAAAAATATGATTCTATCTTTCAGGATCTCCGAGGAGGAGTATGTTAAGGCTATCAAAGAGGAAATCAGCAAAGTCGTCAAGCTTCAGGAAGAGCTTGACATTGATGTTCTGGTTCATGGAGAGCCAGAGGTAATTAAAATGGGGTGCTTGTCCACAAAACTAATAAACACAAATCTCCTACTGTTTATCAATTCTATAATGGTTACTTTATTTATCCTTAATAGCCAATCTTAACATCATATATAACCTAATATCTTTACCTTTTTTGGATTTCTACATTTTAGAGGAACGACATGGTTGAGTACTTTGGAGAGCAGTTGTCTGGTTTTGCCTTCACTGCTAATGGGTGGGTTCAATCTTATGGATCTCGCTGTGTGAAGCCACCGATCATCTATGGTGATGTGAGTCGTCCCAACCCAATGACTGTCTTCTGGTCCACTGCTGCCCAGACCATGACCAAGCGCCCAATGAAGGGAATGCTTACTGGCCCTGTTACCATTCTCAACTGGTCTTTTGTCCGAAATGACCAACCAAGGTATATAGGAACTACTCGATCCCTTTCTGTCCATCACCCGTAGTTCTTTTTGGGGAAAAATTAAATGGAACACCTTGGTCTGTCTTTCTCATGATTCAGAAGAAAATCAACTTGATACATTCTTGGTTTGCAGATTTGAAACATGCTATCAGATTGCTTTGGCCATAAAGGACGAGGTGGAGGATCTTGAGAAGGCAGGCATCACTGTTATTCAAATTGACGAGGCTGCATTGAGAGAGGGTTTGCCTCTTAGGAAAGCCGAGCATGCTTTCTACTTGGACTGGGCTGTTCACTCTTTCAGAATTACCAACGTCGGAGTACAGGACACCACCCAGGTGATTTCCTCACGTCCTTTAACTTCCATTACCTATGATTCAAACTTTCGGTGTCTTTAATTGGGCAGCCACGTTGGGCTATTAATGATATCATCTTTTGTAACCAACAGATCCACACCCACATGTGCTACTCAAATTTCAATGATATCATTCACTCTATCATTGACATGGATGCTGATGTCATCACCATCGAGAACTCTCGTTCTGATGAGAAGCTCCTTTCAGTCTTCCGTGAGGGAGTGAAGTATGGTGCTGGAATTGGACCTGGTGTATATGATATCCACTCCCCAAGAATTCCGTCAACCGAAGAAATTGCCGACAGAATTAATAAGATGCTTGCTGTGCTCGAAACCAATATCTTGTGGGTCAACCCCGACTGTGGTCTTAAGACTCGCAAGTACGCTGAAGTGAAGCCAGCACTCCAAAACATGGTTGCTGCTGCCAAGCTCCTCCGCACTGAGCTTGCAAGTGCCAAATGACTGGTTTATGGCTCATCAGCAGTCTGAAATCTTGCTCCATTTATTGTTTTTTTACATTTCAAGGAAATATTTCTAATGCTTCAATAACTGTGGTTCATGATAAAGTTAAGTAGGTGTAATCTATCCAATGGCTCTCTCTCTTTTCTTTTTTTCGCATTTTCTGGTGTTCCTTTTTTTTTTTTTTTTTTTTTTTTTTCGTTTTCAAAATATATTCGGTATGTCCAGTGACATGTCTATCAATTTGTTTGATAGGCTCCTAGCTCTGACTAATGTACCTCAATGAATGAAAATTGAAGAAATTCTTCAGATTGTGCTTGTTTAGTAAGGATTATTCCCTCAATGAATGAAAAAATTGAAGAAATTCTTCAGATTGATGGCCCCCAGGCACCCTCCCCATTGGGGGGGTGCGGGGATATGGACACCCTTATGACACTCTCAATGTACCCATTGCACAACCCGTTTAGTAATGTATATAAGCTATGTATCCAACGAGATGTGTGGATGATAAGCAGGTAAAAGTTGAGCAATGGTGGATAGAAAATGCAGTTTAATCTGCTTATAAACACTTGTAAACTTTGCCAAACATGTGTTGATCTGATTTTGGGCTGGCTATTCTGAAAACTTGGACATCACTGGATCTGGATCTTCATGGGCCACGATTTCTTTCGGTAATAGACCATAAATCAAGAGAATTTTGTTAATAAATATTAATGAAATCCTTTGAAATCTAGCATCTTGATATTCTATGAATTTACAAAAATTAATAAAATGATTTCAAATTATTTGGATGAATTTCAAGTTTAAAAACATACAATAAGCTCTTTTGAAAATTTCATCATTTTTAATAAAATTCTCGAGGATTTCAAATTCACAAAATTCTTTAAAATTTTATAATCTTTTAAAAAATTCTTTAAAATTTTAGTTGACACTCTTGTACTAATAAAAATCTTACTATTTTTGCTATCAACATATAATTGATAGAATTTGATTAGAAAACATATGGTTATTAAGTTGTCGTTTAGTAAAGATTTTTTAAAACTCATTTTTTTCCAACCTCATTTTTAATCTCGTATTTTTTTGAATAAAATAATTTTGCATATGGATCCATAACTTTTTAACTGCACAATCTTAAAAAAATTAATCTTTTACGAAATCTTTTCTCAGAAAATTTATCTCAAACAAGTAGTAAATTTTTTATCTTTAAGTATATCTCGAACTGACAACTATAAAGAGCGTAGTAAAATCTTTTATACACTCCAACGTAACATTACTCTCTATTTTGACTGTTTATTTTACATTTTTAATAAACATGTATGTTTTCTTATCTTTTATTTAGCCCATGGTTGTTAGAAATAATAATCTAATTTTTTATCAAAGTTAAAATTAATAATTTACTTTAATCATATATTTAATGAAATTTATAATTTTTTAACCACAAATTTCATAAAATTTATTAAAATCTGCTAAACGTTTTATTTCAATATTCATCAAATATGGACTTAATATTTTTTTTTATATACTAATGGTTTCAGTTCAAGTATTATTCCACCTCACCACGTGGAAAAAAGCTAAAATTCAGATGTTAGATTTAAAATTCAGAGGGTTAGATTCTTCAAAAGTGAAGCTTACTGTACTTGAATATGGCTATATTAAATACGTTTCCTAACCCAAAAGTCACCTAAATTCTTCAATTTTCTAGTGAAAATGTACAAATGCAAATTGCAAGAATTGTGCCAGAAGAGGGGCTGGAGTTTGCCGGAGTATACGACGGCGAGAGATGGCCCAGATCATATGCCTCGATTCAAAGGCGTCGTGAACGTTAATGGGCAAGCTTTCGAGACTCCGAATCAGTGCAAATCTTCTAAAGAGGCTCAAAATCTGGTGGCACGAATTGCTTGCGACCACTTCATTGCCCAACCCTCTCAGTCTGGCCAACAACAGTACCTGCAGCCCTCGTCCTCTAGCTCTGCCGCTCATCCGTGTGCTGGTGTTCAAGCTGTTGTTCCAAATCCGCCATGGGAGAAACCTTCAACAGCTGCTACAGTTCCTGTGATTGTGCCAAGCGCTGCACTTCCAGTTTCCGAAGCTCGTCCTGTAGCGGTAGCTCCATTTCTCCATATTTCAGTTCCTGAACTTCCGCCGGATTTTGTAATTCCGCCGCCCCCCATGCCACCTGCTAGTAAGTTTTGTCTATTTAGTTTAAAGTTATATAAGTTATGCATATGCATTGTTTGCGTGGGGATATATGAATCGGATTTCTTCAATTTTTTTCATTTTTCTGAGAAATGTAATTAGTAGTTTTTTCTTACTTTCTTTTCTTTTCTTCTTCTTTTGTGTGTGTGTGTGTTTGGGGGGGGGGGGTTCTGATTGATGATGCCCTGTTTGGTTTTATAGATTTGATAAAAGTAGATGAAATGAGTGGTTGAAAAGTAGTGGCTCCGTGAAATGTGTGGATAAAGTTAATCGTTGACATTGACTTGAGGCACCAAACAGGTGCAAAAAATGTTGTGTTGTATTTTGTGGGTTGATTGTTGTACGTTTCTGTTAGAATTTATTGAATGAAATTAAACTCCATAAAGCAGAAGAAAGAGGCACTCCATGATTGGAGGAAAAGAAACCTCCATGAAAGGAGGGATTGGAATTCCACAATCCAATGATTTATTAATGAATACAATGACTCCATTTATAGAGAAAAAAGATGAGTAATTAACTGACTAATTTGCTAATTAACAGGCTAATCACAAACTAATTAACATCCTAGACATGAACTGGAATATTCTAAATTTGATATAACATATTTCTAACACACCCCCTCAAGATGGACTATAGATATCAACAATAGTTCATCTTGAAGATTAAAGAGTACTGGAGGGAAAAACCATGATGAATAGCCTTGCAGAACAAATCTCTTGAATCCATACATATGAGCATCCATTAGATCAGCACGAAACATCACCAGACATTCCATTCCCATTCCATTTCGTGCCAGTGCACAATGTTTTCAGAGTTGAGGAGACTTGTTTTGCACGACAAACTTGGTAAGGTTCATATTGCAGAAAGGGATGATGTTCTCAATGGTAGCAAACTGACGGGTCTTCAGATTTCACCAGATCTGATGGAGAAACAAGATTTAGTGTAGGCTTTGACCATCCATAAAGATCTTTGAAAGTTCAGAGAACCAAAATCTCAAAGAGGAGAAATTTTATTGCAGAGAATCAAGGACGAATTTTGATGTTGCTGGCGCCATTTTTCGAAGATGGGAACTGAACTTTTACTAGAATAACACTTTTCAGAATTATGCTAAAATAGAAGAAATTAGAGATCTGCTTTCATTTGTGCAGAACACAGAAAGAGGGGATGAAAATCTCAGAAAAACACAGCAGCAAGAACAACTCTGCTCTAATACCATGAAGAAAACGAGATTGAAAGAAATTTCTAATTCTTCAATAGTAAAAACATTGATTACAGTAAGTATATATACACAGGACGAGTAATAGGAAAAGGAAACTAATCTTCTAAAATAGGAATAAAACTATTCTACCAAAAAACTAAAAGATTACAATCACTAATTGATTATAATTACTATATCTTGTCTTCTTTCCATACTCGGACCTTTTCTATACTCCCCCTCAAGTTGAACTGTAAATGTTGATCATGTTTAACTTGCTAATAAGGTCGTCAAATGTTGGCCTGGATAACCCTTTTGTAAATAAATCTGCGGTTTGTTCTTTTGTAGGAATGTATGTCATACAAATGATTCCATTGTCCACCTTTTCTTTGATAAAATGTCTGTCCACTTCCGCATGTTTTGTTCTATCGTGTTGTACTGGATTGAGAGAGATGTTAATAGCTGCTTTATTATCACAATAGAGTTTGATTGGAAACTCGACTCCGACTTTTAGTTCCTCCAAGAGTTTCTTTATCCAAAGTCCTTTACATATTCCTTGTGCAACGGCTCTAAATTCAGCTTCAGCACTGCTTCTGGCTACTACATTTTGTTTCTTACTTCTCCAAGTTGTCATATTTCCTCACACAAATGTGCAATAGCCAGTAGTTGATTTTCTGTCTTCTATGGATCTAGCCCAATCGGCATCTATGAATATTTTTACTCCTTTCTTTTGATGTTTTCCAAAAAACAGACCTTTTCCAGAAGTTCCTTTTAGATATCTGAGAATTTTATATACTGCTTTTAGGTGAGCATCTTTAGGAGAGTGCATATGCTGACTGACCATACTGACGGCGAAAGCAATGTCGAGTCTAGTGTGTGAGAGGTAGATCAATTTACCGACTAATCTTTGATACCTGTCTGTTTTCACGGGTTTTCGAGTGTCCTTTTTCACTTTTCCTGCCTCAATAGGTGTATCACTTGGTTTGCATCCTAACATACCGGTTTCGGTTAGCAGATCAAGAATATATTTTCATTGGGAAACACTGATACCTGTTTTTGATCTTGCAATTTCCATTCCTAGGAAATATCGCATTTGTCTGAGGTCTTTTACCTCAAATTCAGTTGCTAGGCACTGCTTTAATCTTTCTATTTCAGTTATGTTGTCTCCTGTCAAAATGATATCATCCACATAAACAATTAAGATAGTCTTTGCTCCATTTCCTGATTGATGGTAAAACATGGTGTGATCCGATTGTCCTTGCTGATATCCTTGAGTTCTCAGTACCTTTGCAAATCTATCAAACCATGCTTTAGGTGACTGTTTTAGTCCATATAAGGACTTCTTGAGTTTACACACTTGATTTTCCTTATTTAACCTGTTGAAATCTGGTGGTATTTTCATGAAAACTTCTTCTTCTAGTTCCCCATTGAGAAACACATTCTTAATGTCCAACTGTTGAAGTGGCCAGTCTAAATTCACTGCTAACGACAAGAGAACTCGGATTGTATTTAATTTTGCCACTGGTGCAAATATTTCTGTGTAGTCAATGCCATAGGTTTGAATATACCCTTTGGCAACTAAACGAGCTTTGTAACGTTCTATTGTCCCGTCTGCCTTGTACTTCACAGTGAAAACCCATTTGCAGCCGACAGGTTTCTTGCCTTTTGGTAGGTTTGCCACTTCCCACGTTTCTTTTTTCTTTAAAACTTTTATTTCCTCCATTACCACCTCTCTCCATTTGGGTGACTCAAGGGCTTCTTGAATATTTCTTGGAATTTCTGTTTTGTCAAGATTAGTCGTAAAGGCACGAAATTTTGTAGATAGAGCACTATAAGACATAAATTTTGAAATAGGATGTAAAGTACATGATCTGGTTGGTTTTCTGAGAGCAATAGGTAGATCATCACTTGGATTGTTGAAAGGATCTTTATCAGTTCCTATCACCGGTTCCGACTCTTTTGGTGCTTCAGTTGCGAGGGTTTCATTATACTTTGATTTAGGCCTTCGTGAGTAAACTAGTATCTCCTTGTCACTTTGCTTTTCTCCATCTCCCCTTGAATTCAAGTTTTCTTCTGTATATGACACACTAGGAGGATTAGTATGTGTGAGGTCAGAAGGGTTGAGATCAAAGTCTAAGAATTCATGATTGGAGAGCCGATCTTCGTTCAAGTTTCCCCCCTAAAGAGAAGGCTTTGAGAAGTAAGGTGTGGTTTCAAAAAAAGTGACATCGAGACTCACGAGAACCCGTTCACCCAAAGGATCATAACATTTGTAACCTTTTTGAGTGGGAGAGTACCTAATAAACGTGCATTTAATGGCACGTGGTTCAAGTTTATTGCGGTGTTGGGAGTGAATGTGTACAAATGCAGTACAACCAAACACTTTTAAGGGTAGGTTTGAATTAAGATGGGATGTTGGGAAGCGTTTTTGGAGTTTTTTTAAAGGTGAGTCAAAAGAGAGGGTCCGACTGGGCAATCAATTTATTAGATAAGTAGAAGTTAGAATTGCATCTCCCCAGAATGTTTTTGGCGTATTCATTGTAAATATTAAGGCACGAGCTACTTCTAGTATGTGCCTGTTTTTTCGTTCAGCAACCCCATTTTGCTGTGGGGTATGGACACATGAACTTTGGTGGACTATTCCATATTTTTTTAAATAGTCTTGCAAAGTAGCATTAAAATATCCTGTGCCATTGTCAGTGCGGATAATTTGAATTTGTGTTTGAAATTGCGTCAGGATCATGGAATGAAAGTTCATAAATATTGATCGAACATCGGCTTTTTCTTTCAGCAGATAAACCCAACATACTCGAGTGTGATTTTCGATAAATGTGACAAACCACTTTGTTTGGGTACGGTTAGGGGTGTGGGAAGGTCCCCATAGATCACTGTGAATCATAGCAAATGGTTTGGATAGTTTGTATATTGATTTTGGAAAAGATGTACGCTGATGTTTTGCAAACTCACAATTTTCACATTGAAACTCAATAGGTGTTTTATTCATGAAAATTGAAGGACAAACACGTTTTAAATATAGTAAGCTAGGATGACCTATTTTATTGTGCCATAACAAGATTTCTCTATCTTTAAAGGTAGATGTAGAATTACATTGTGAAAGTTGACCTCGTGAACTCACATCAGCTTCCTCAAAGTAGTATAATCCCTCGCATTCTTTAGCATTGCCAATCGTCTTTCCCGATGAAAGGTCTTGAAAGACACAATAAGATGGAAAGAAATTAGCAGAGCAATTGGAAATTTTTGTTACTTGACAGACAAATAATAAGTTACAAGATAAATTTGGGACATGGAGAACAGAATCCAATGTTAAGGACTCAGATGTTCGAATACTCCCTTTTCCTGCAACAGATGAAAGTGAGCCATCTGCAATTTTAACTCGGATGTTGCTAGGACAAGTTGAATATGAATTGAATAGATGATACGAATCCGTCATATGATCAGATGCTCCGGAGTCAATAATCCAAGCATTTTTATATTTCGAAGTATTTAAGGCTCTAGGAAAGATACCTTTGTGGGCTAGTGAGCTAGAGGGGTCTTTTGGAGAAGAAGACTGACCGGAGGTTTGAAAGCTTGCAAATAGTTGATAGAGTTGTTCCAATTGCTCGGAATTAAATGTATTGCTTGCAGTTGAATTGTTTTTCGTTTCAACCTGATGTCCCCGACTCCTCGAGTTTAGCTTAGGTCTCCAGTTGCTTCCCATTAATTTCCCAGCATGTATCTATTTTATGACCCGACTTACGACAGTGCTCGCACCAAGGACGACCCCATTGTTTTTGGGTTGACCCATTTATAATTCCTTTTGAAAAGCCCAAACCATCACTGCCATTAACAAGCCCATTAATATGTTCAATTTTTGGCCCAAATTTGGCCCGTTCTTTTTATAATGGAGCCTCTTCGCGGCGTACTTCTGCAAACACCTCTCGAGTGGAAGACAGTGGGCGGCGTCCCAAAATTCGGCCTCTAACTTCATCGAGTTCGCGATTCAGGCCGACAAGAAATTCATAGACCCTTTCGTTTTCTTGCTTCTTCTTGTACAAGGTGATGTCGTCGGGACACTTCCATTCTTCTTCACTGCAGAGGTCGAGGTCTTGCCAAAGAGATGTCATTTCCATGAAATATTCTGTGACATCTCGTGTCCCTTGTTTGGTCTGCCATGAGCGGGTTTTCAATTCAAAGATTTGGAAAGTGTTTTCGGCGTCTGAGTAGGTGTCTTTTACAGCATCCCATACATCTTTCGCTGTAGGAAGGAACATATAGGTTTTCCCTATAGGGGGCTTCATCGAGTTCACTAGCCAAGCAATGACAATGGAGTTTTCGGAGTGCCATCGTTGCCGCAGAGCTGTGTCGGCCGGTTTCTTTGTCTCGCCGGTAAGGTAGCCCAACTTTCCTTTTCCATCAATCACCAGTTTAATCGACTGGCCCATTCACGGTAGTTTTTCTCGTTTAATTTTTCAACAGTAAGTTGAAACGAGGAATTCTCGAATGCATTCTGACCAATTGAGGAATTTCCCTCTGTTTCTGCACCTGATATTGTTGAGGCAGAACCGTCGGCAGGGAATTTCGCCATAGTTTTCTAGATGAGAGCACCTTGCTCTGATACCATGTTAGAATTTATTGAATAAAATTAAACTCCATAAAGCAGAAGAAAGAGACACTCCATGATTGGAGGAGAAGAAACCTCCATGAAAGGAGGGATTGAAATTCCACAATCCAATGATTTATTAATGAATGCAATGACTCCATTTATAGAGAAAAAAGATGAGTAATTAACTGACTAATTTGCTAATTAACAGGCTAATCACTAACTAATTAACATCGTAGACATGAGTTGGAATATTCTAAATTTGCTGTAACATATTTCTAACAATTTCTATGCAGTGTGTGGGTCTGGTGTAGGTGGTTCGGGTATGTGCAAGTTTGTAAATCTGTACATGCATACTTGCATAAGAAGTATGTTTCACTACAATTTTGAGTAGGTATGGACTTGCTTTGGCATCTTAATTTGATGAGATATTTTAATTTGCTTGACTGGCCTACAATGGTGGAGCTTGGATCAAGTTCTTTTAGGACAGCATTAATTGTGGATGCTTACAAATACAATTATGTTTAGGTCTCATTTTGACTGCCCTCAAACTCTATCGAGTTTTCTCCAATGGATTTTCTATAACAACAAACCCAATTAAGGTGTTGGACGTGCCCAGCAATTGCCCTTAACTATTCCTATGGGGAATATAGTGAATGAGTACTTCGTTAATGATCCTATTGAAATCCTGTATTGACTTTAGATTGATGGTGTAGACCATTTTGATCCTGAGTAACTTGGGTTGTAGATGATCTTGGTGAAAACCTGGATTAGCCCTAGCATGAATTTGGAGATGTTTTTATCTTAAGTACTTGGTTTGCTGTTGGTTTGAACCTAGTTTGAAGTTGGAGTTCATATTGATTAGCTTGCATAATTGGTAATCACGGTGAAAACCCTGATCAACTATAGTGTGAAGTTTGGGGATCATTTTGATCATGACTACCCCAGGATATTGATGATCTTGTTGAAAACTTGGATAAGTCCTAGTGTTATGTTGGAGATCATTTTGATCCGAAGTATGTTGAACCGTCGATGATCCTGGTAAATATTGATATTGGCATTAGCTTTTCACCAAGTAGCCCGAATTGTTGACTCTTGGTGAAAATTGAATAGATCTTAGCGTGAAAGTTGGGTAGTTTTGATAATTGTTTTAAAAAGTGCCCAAGCTTTTACCCTTTGAGGCTCATCTCATCTAAGGCTTATGTCATGTGCTTGTAGCTTACGCCTCGAGTGCCATTTGGAAGGTTTGTACCTCGACTTACTTAGATACAGGCCTCGAGGTGTAGGCCTCTCGCTCATTTATCTTTTGTTTTGTCTTTTATTTTTGGCCACACTTTTGAGTTGGATTTTTTTATAGCCTAGAACATTTTAAAGGATTTTGTGGGCTGCTTTTAACCCAACCCAACCCTAAAAACTTTAAAAAAATTGCAAAAGTGAGCAGAAGGCAAGTGTGCCAACCTCCTACACCTAAGTTATAAACTCTCTCCCAAGTGATTATATGGAAGACTTATAGGATTTTTCTTCTAGTAGTCAGTAGTACAAGTTTGTTACCTGATTACTATTTGATCTATCTTATTTTTGTTCGCAAGTTAGACTTTTAATTTTGGTAAATTGTTTAATTGTGGATTTTCATGATGGTTTATAGTTTATCATGAGCATATTTTTGTAGTTATATATTTTTTGGAATTCTTTTATTGGTCTGAGTGGAGGTTTACGCCTCAAAACGCTTGGAGGTTGCTTATGCCACGGTCCTTGTTTGAGCATTTATAAACATTAGTCAGTAAGAACTTCTCTCCATGACCTCATGAGTATTTGTACTTCGTGCATGGATTTGTTTTCAAGGCATAATTTGCATATTTTTTAGGTGCATTATCTTAGCATGATAGAGGGAGATTATGGGGACTCGCGGCAGTGGATACCCTTGGCCTCCATTTCCTGTACCCCTGTTTGCAAGCTTATTAGTTTAAATTGGATGTGGGATCTTTAGTTTTGTCACTCGTTGAAGTTAGATCCTCGATTATTAATCAAAATTTCTATTCTACCTGGAGAAACATTTATCCCCTGTTTGATAACCATTAAAACAACTCTTTTTTCTCAAACTCATTTTCAACCATATATTCTCACAATAAAATATTTTGCACTTAAACCCAAAACTTTTTCCTACTTTTTAACAACACATTCTCTAAAAAAAAATACTATCCCAAAACTCAATTCCTTGTCAAACAGGGGCTTAGTGTTACTTCTAAAGATGAATTTAAAGTTCATCACTTGTCATCATCTAGGGCCTCTTTCTCCACAAATAAAAAGAAATAAAAAAGTGAAAAGGGTTTCCATAATTGTTTAATTCAAGTGCTGAGAAGTGGGCTTGTTTTTGATAATTCTTAAACTAAATTCTGAAGCAAATTGCTGAATAGCGTGCTCTGCCCGATTTTTATATTATTGGTGTGAGCTTAATTACACTCATTTTTTTATCACGACTCAAATAATTAGTTTTTGCTTTTGTTGTTATGTTTTTCTGGTAGCTATTCATTTATGTGCACCATTGTTTCAGTAGGATAAACAATAGATAAATGTATGTGACATTTCATGATTGGATTTGGAAATTTTATGAAATTCTTACATTGTTTGTGCAGGATTTCTTACAGCGAAAACGAAGTTGGATGTCCAACCTGCTAATAAAGAGATAATGCAGTCAAACTATGAAGATAATGCTCAGATTTCTACGACTAATTTGGATATCCAACCTGCCAACAAAGAGATAATGCAGATGAACTCTCAAGATAATGCACAGATTTCTATGGTTAATAGTAATACAAGTGTGATACTTTCCAATGATAAGATTTCTAAGGGTTAGAAAAAATAATTTTTTTCCTTACTTCATTTGGTTAACTCCTTATTTAAAATCTCATAACTGTCAAATTTCTGGATTTTCTTAACTAAGCCCCCGTTTGGCTCCCATTAAATCTCATTAAATTAAAATTTTCTCTTTCCTATTCTCAGTCACACAATTTTCAATAAAATAATATTATAGGTAAGTCGAAAACTTTTCATTTTTTTACAACTATCCATTTTTCAAAAAAAAAAAAAAAAAAAAAAAAAAAACTATTCCCCCTATTATAATCAAAATTAATGGGGGCCAAATGGGGGCTAAATGTTTTGTTTTGTGAGCAACATCTGAGTTCTTTTGGTGAAAAATTTATGGTTGACATTTCAATATATATACTGGGCCATTATCCTTGTTAGATGACATGGAATGACAACTTTATGACAAACTAATAAGGTTTGGTGGTCATGTTGGATAATGGAGATGATAGGTAAAGTTTAAGAAGCAAGAAACAAGATGTCCTGTATAAAGCTCTGGCATGAACAAATGCCAAATTTTGTTATAGATACATCATATATATCATACATTTGATGCGAAAATGAACCAAGAAATGAGAAGGTCCATAACTCATTCTTAATTAAAAAATCACTGTGCGAATTATTTAAATGATTAAAGCGACAATACCAAGTCATGCTTAAACAATAATGAACAAGCTGGTTATTGAATGGTTGCAGAATTGTTACAATTAGGTCTTAGAGTAAAAAATGTTGCATAAATGGAGGAAGTGTGTTATATGCCTATTTATAAGAACGAAGGAGATATTCTAGATTGTACAAATTCAGAGCTATTAAGCTCATGACTCATGAGCCATGCTATGAAATTATTAGTGTGATGATTGATTACAAATAAAGGTGTAATTGAAAGGTATTAAAGAATAAATTTGGCTTTAAATGGGAAAGATCTACAATGGAAGCCAGTTTCATGCTTAGGAGATTGATGGAGAAGTATAGCAGAATGAAACTGCATGTAATTTTTACGGATAGGAAAAATGTTTATGATAGTGTGTCAAGGGATGGTCCATGGTGGGTGTCACATGGAATGAATTTGTAATAGATGATCCATGTTCTTAAATCTATGCATGATAGAGCAGGTACAAGAGTGAGATATATGGTGGTAGTAGTAGAAAATTTCCTATCACTATAGATTCGTGTCAAAGTTCTGCTTTAAATCCTTATATATTCAATTTAGTCATGAGCAATGTTACATTTTAGTAAGAGGTTCTTTGATCTATGTTTGCCAATGGCATAGTTTAGTTGATGAGACTAGCAAAGGGCTAGGTCATAAGCTAGAACTTTGGAGCAATAATTTGGAATCAGGGGAAAACTAAAGTATAACCAAGATACAGGACATGCAATGTGATTGTAGTAATTCTCTTGGGCTATAATTTATGTTTCCAACTACTATAAGTCATAATCTTATAAATGACTATAATAGTCGTTTTCTCGATCATTATCGCCTGCTGTTCTTCTTTATGTTATAGCTGTGTTGCACATATATGCTGATCTTCTTTGTGTTACAGATGTGTTGCACATATATAAAAACCGATTGCAACAATATGCTCAGAAGAGAGGTCTTAGTCTGCCTGTGTATACTTGTGAATTCGAAGGCCCTCCTCACGCTTGCCGCTATAAGTCAAGTGTCACATTAGATGGAAAAATATATGAAGCACCAGCATTTTTTCCCACGATAAAAGACGCTGAACATGCAGCAGCCAAAGTTGCTTGTGAAGCATTGTCTGTTGTTGAAATTCAGGAGGCCAGTATTCAAACCAGTTAATTCTGTTGTTATGATTATTGCCTTCTTATTGCTGTATCACGTTTATGCATTTTAATTACCTCAGGATAAAGGTTTGTACAAAAATCTTCTACAAGCAATGGCCCAAAAAAGAGGTCTCAAGTATCCGATATATGAGACGTCCCCAGCAGGTCCTCCTCGCAAGCCTGTATTTGTGTCAGTTGTGGAGGTAGGAAGTGACACTTTCCAAGGAACTAAAGCCAAAACTAAAAAGCAGGCAGAGATGAATGCTGCTGAAGTGGCTTACATTGCTCTTACTAAGAGTAAGAAACTAATTTTTTATTGGGCTTGAGTTTGTTCTAGTCTCTCAAAACAACTGCTTCAATTATTCCGTTATCTTGTGTATAACAATATGAGTGGCTACCTTGCGTAAGTGACGTGATGAAAAAGGCTTCTAGCTGATTACCCTTTCAGTGCTTCACATGCTTTTTGATAGTTAAGCTTTATCTTGTTAAATTGAATGGAAATTGTTGCATCTACATTTTCTCACCATGGCAACATAGGCAATGGTTTCTAATCTAATTTGAATTCTATGATAGCAAAGATATATGTATGTATGTATGTATGTACACACTTTGGAGCTGTGACTCCTCAGTAAACTAAAAAAAAAATTAAAATCCATGTTAACGAATGTGAACTCAATGTACAGTTCAGTCATGTACATAACACACTGAAAAAAAAATTCTTTTGGGAGTTCTGTGTTCTTTAAGTAGACTTCCTAAAAGTTTATTGGATTTTCTTGTTTTTACAACAAGTGTCCTGAAATATATACTTTTACAATCTTCTTTTTTCTGCAATTTAAGAATTTTCCTTGGTTCCACTCAATTTTATACCCGTAATTTTTGTGTTGCACTGAATCTCATTTGTCTATTTGTTCTGGGATCACATTTCTCTGAAGTGGTTGTTTGTGCCTTTGGCCCTTAGCATACCTATAGTTTTACCCACCTTGTCAGTCATCTAGCTATTGCATGCTACCCATCTAGACATTGAGGAACGCAATATTTATCTTTGTATAAATTCAATGTGCAAAAACTTGATACATTTAGACCTGATGGGAGGGAAGACTAAACAATAAAGGTGATAAGTAAATAAGTTTTACTCGATATGATGCCTTAGCTAATGTGCTTTATAACTTGGTGTTTTGGGATATGTTGACATGGATAAAGATGTAAAGTTTTCGTATTCTTGGTTAGTTAAATGATTAGAAATTGATATAGAACTTCTCTGTTAATTAAAAGTATTTTCTGTTATAACTTCTCTTCTAATTTACCCAAAAAGTTCATGTTGAATATACTGTCCCCTATTAATCACATTCTTCGCCACCTTTTATGTTAACATGATGTCTTTTATGATTCTTAGCTAAAAAGTTGAAAATCAGGAGTGGAAAGAAAATATTATGCAGTGCTACAATCTTTTAAACAGAAACTTCCCTGAGTTGAAATCGTTGAATTAGAAAGGCATATTACAACAGTTACGACTTCCTGGTTAACTATTGCATATCTTCCAGATAACCTGTTTTGGGAGTGGAGTTGATTTGCACTATGAAGAAACATTTATTTATTTATTTGTTTGGGGGGTGGGGTGGCACTCTTCCCCTAATAATTTGCACCTGCATAGGCATTCATAGTGTTTGTAATGAAGGTTTGAATTGGTGAACTATCTTTGAAATTTGCTGCTCAGAAGTGTGTGCTTATGCGTCATTTGAGTGCGAAAACTTGGTAGAAGAGTGTGCATGACACATGAAAACACATGCTATGACAAGGAGTTTCTGCTGGTCATATTGTTGAAATTAATTTTGGGTTACTGGTATTGGATTTCTTTCTGATACTGATATTGGTTAGAGAATGTGCACAATACGTTAAGAAACTTATTTTGGTAAGTTGACTATGAGCTTATTGGTTATGAATGATAAATGTAGTCACTAATTATTGTTTCTCAGATCGAATTCGTTAAATTGTGCGCATACTTGTTATGAATCGTATTTATAGGTTTCATTTGTTACCATTCCTTATTTCACATTGAAGTTTCTTAAAGGCAAGTGATATTAATTTGTTTTGCAAATACATAAGTGATGTATGTGCCTACTACATAGATATATTCAGTGTTTGAACTGGACTTTGAACACATTGATTATGAATAATACATTTAGAGTTGGGAATTCTAATAATTGATATTCAATATTTTAACAGTTTCCGATACAACTACAAACTATGCTTTATTTTGAATAGATTCTGGGTTGTCTACATGAATTACTTTTGGTCATTTTGTTTTATTTGCTATCTCTATTGGGAGAATTGAGGCAACTAAATCCTTAATAACTATCACAACCAAATTAGTTTTGGTCTATCCTCCCCTCTTCCAACTTGCACTACCGAAATCCCATAACTCTGATCAACAAGGGTCGAATTTGTATTAGATATTGCTTGAACATTGTAAGACATGGAGCACATTTAGTTCTTCCCATTGATAAATGGATTTCTTATCTCATGTCTTCTTTTCGTGCTTTCTTTTATTTTTATCCAATTCATGCTCAACAATGCCTCTGTTCTCCACTAACAACTCATGTCAACAATTGAGGTAGAACAGCTCAAGTCAATAAGTGAGGTAGGCCCCTTTCTATTGGAGCTCAAGCATGTACTTTTCTCGACTCATTGGGCATCTTTTTACTATTCTTGATCTCATTAGTTAATTTTGTCAAATATAATACCAACTCTGCCCAAGCATTTCCATAATTATAGGGATTCCATCCCATCCAATTGCATTTCTTATCTGCATCGTCTTCTTTGCTTCGTTCACTTCTTAAGCTTGAAATCTTCTAGTGTAATTAACATTCCTATCTACAGTGGAGTTTGACAGGCCCCCAATATCCAAACACTGTCTTTTCATTAGACGGCTTGTCAATGCAATTCCTCCACTTTCTGTGGATTGCCTGTGAATCTGTTTTGGATCCTCAAATTTACGGTTTCAAAGCTGGTGCACTGCCTTAATTCAATCTATTAATGCATGTAATATGTGACTATAATCTACCAAAAAGTTGACTGAATTAATTAAATACGTGAATAAGATTCAGTTTTAAGGGAGCTTGGATATATCTGCATTGCTTGTCCATTTTAATGTATTCACACACGCCTCATAATTATTTAATTTTTCTTTTCTTCTCATAGTATCTTTATTATCTCCAATTTCTAAGGAGTTTTCCCTTACCTTGTCAAGTTTACATCTTTCTGTAGAAAACGATCAAGAGAAGAGAAAGGAAAGAAACCCAGTTATTGTAATTAATTAGGGATTACATATTTTTGTTATTTTGTAGGCTAATTTGTTTCCTAATTTAGGAGATTAGTTTTTCCAAATTTTCTTCCTCTTGTGTGTATATAAACTGACGCGAGAAGGCTGTTAATGCATTGAAAAAGAAAATTATTTTCTCAAGTCTCTAATTCTTTATGGTATCATAGCCTAGGTTGCTCAAACCTAGCAATCAATAGCGGAATTCCCCGCCAACAGTATCGGATCTATCATCTTCGACCCCTAAGCAGAGGTCCACTCCCCCATTGGTTCCAATACAACTGAAACTTCATCATTCCAACATACAATCGAGAAATTGAATGGAATAAACTTTCGAGAATGGGCTCTGTCAATTAAATTAATAACTGATGGAAAAGGGAAGCTTTGATATCTCACCTATGAGACAGAAGCTAGTTGATCCTGCTCAACTGCAACGGTGGAATTCTGAAAATTCAATGGTAACCGCTTGGCTTGTAAACTCCATGAAGCTGTTGATAGGGAAAGCCTATCTCTTCCTCCCATTGGCAAAAGATGTCTGGAATGCCGTGAAGGAAACTTATTTAGACGTCGGGAACACTGCACAAGTTTTCGAACTCAAGACTCGTCTATGGCAGATGAAACAGGGGACACGGGTTGTTACCGAATATTTCATGGAGATGACCTCCCTGTGGCAGGACCTCGATCTGAGTAGCGAAGAGGAGTGGAAGTGCAAGGAAGACGTCGCCTTGTACAAGAAGTAGGAGGAAAATGAGAGAGTATTCGAATTTCTTGCATGGCTGAATCGGGAGTTGGATGAGGTTAGAGGCCGAATATTAGGGAGAAACCCGCTACCATCGATCCGCGAGGTCTTCGCGGAGGTGGTCGGGAAGAAGCTTGTCGGCATGTGATGTTGAAAGAAGTCGCTGGAGTAGAAATTTTGGCCTTGGCAGGGAAGAAGAAGAATGGATTGGAGAACACTAAAGAGCATGGGCTTCTTGGACGAGGTAAAGTTAATGGGCCAACACTTGGGCCAGAGACTGAAAACACTAATTGCGCCTCTGGAGCTTTGGGTCTTTCAAAAGGAGGAATAAATGGGCCAGCATAAAAACGAGAAAGGCCTTGGTGTGAGCATTGTTGTAAGCCGGGTCGTAAAATAGACACATGTTGGGAAATTAAGAGGAAGCCCAATGACTGGAAACCGAAGCAAAACAGTAGGAACCGTGGGTATCAAGCAAAAACTAAAAGTAACCTAACTTTAAGTGGTGGATTCAATTTCGAACAACTTGAGCAAATTTATCAATTGGTTGCGAGCTTCCAAACATCTGGTCAACCGTCTCCTAAAGGTCATTCTAGTTCATTAGCCCACAAAGGTAACCTCCTCAGAGCTCTAAACACTTCACGGTGTAAAAATGCGTGGATTATAGACTCTGGTGCATCCGATCACATGACGGATGCATATCACCTCTTTTCTTCATACTCCACTTGTCTTGGGAACATTAGCGTCCAAATTGTAGATGGCTCACTATCACCTGTTGCAGGAAAAGGAAGTTTTTGTATTTCTGAGACTATAACACTAGATTTTGTTCTTCATGTTCCAAACATGTCTTGTAACTTGTTATCTGTTAGTCAATTGACAAAAAACTCTAATTGCTCTGCTATTTTTCTTCCGTCATGTTGTATTTTTCAAGACCTTTCATCGAAGAAGACGATTGATAGTGCTAAAGAATGTGAAGGTCTATACTATTTTGAGGAAGTTGACGTGAGTAAACCTAGTTACCTCTCAAGTTGTAATTCTGCATCTTCCCCTAGTGATAGTGAAATTTTATTATGGCATAATAGAATGGGTCATCCTAGTGTGCAAGCATGTTTTTCCTTCAATTTTTATGAATAAAAAATCTATTGAGTTTCAGTGTGAAAATTGTGGATTTGCAAAGCACCAACATACAATCTTTCCAAAATTCACGTATAACCCATCTAAGCCATTTACCTTAATTCACAGTAACCTATGGGGACCTTCTCACAATCCAAATCGTACCCAAACAATGT